ATCCCATGATGGTGATACAACATAGATGTAACACCGTCAAAGCGGAACCCATCAAAGCGATAGTCTTCAATCCACATCCTCAAATTAGACAGAAGGAACCTCAAGACTTCCCAGCTGAAATAACATGAACACATTTTATAAGCTTTAAAAACCTTGGGATCAAGTAGAATTCATCATACCATGTTCCCCACTTGAATATGTAGCACTTGTACTGTGGATTTTACCATTTTAATGGTTTCTTCCCTATTTTTCATTGACCTTCCCTAAGAAGTTTGTCTTCTTAAGTCTTTGTCTTTTACTGCACATAATTTTAGGAGTGCAGATAGGAGGTTAGGAAGAACTGTCCACATAGACATTTAACAGGCTAGTGTCTACATACATGTACAGTATTTTACATACTTGCTAGGGTAATTTTTCTTTGCCTCCCTAAGGGAAAGATATTACAGAAATGCAAAGAAAATCATAAAAGGTTAAAATTTTGTTCCCCAAGATTTTATGAATTTACAGCAATTTTTAGGCATAAAGAAGATAAAAAAAGCTGTCTTTCCCCACTGCCCTCCCAGATTAGCTACAAATCACAAGTCACCAGTAGATTACCAAATCACCTGCTATTCTGCAAATTTACACATTTGAAGAGTAAACCAACTTATGGAAGTTGAGGAGATCTTTTTTTGAAATTCAGAACACGAATGGGGTATAACACACAGACACACACACACACAAAGCAAGCATGGACGTGAAATAAAAAATATAAAAGAGGTTCCAAAGTGAGCAAGCATGGGGAGACATTTGTGAACAGAATTCTATATTAAGGGATAAAACAGTTTTAGGAACAGTTTTCCTACTATTCTTCGCCTCCTCTTCCCCAGGACACTGTTCTCCATAGCTTCAAGAGATCCCCCAAATCTTGTTTCTGCTCTCCACCCTCCAGGGCACAACTCTCTCTGCCACCCTCAGCATGAGCTGCATCAGGAGTGTCTCCTGCAAGCCACGGCTCCAACAAGTTCCCTCATCTCAGCCAGCCAACACATGACAGAGAGAAACTTCTTCTGCCAACATCTTCAACACCTGCCAATTCTATGATTCCTCTCTGATTAATTTTCCA